ATGTGTGTGTGTGTGTATGCCTGGGTTCACTGTTATGCTGTGTGTGTGTGTGTATGTGTGTGCACACCTGGGTTCACTATTATGCTGTGTGTGTGTGTGTGCGTGTGTGTGTGTCTGGGTTCACTGTTATGCTGTGTGTGTGTGTGTGTGTGTGTGTGCCTGGGTTCACTGTTATGCTGTGTGTGTGTGTGTGTGTATGTGTGTGTACACCTGGGTTCACTATTATGCTGTGTGTGTGTGTATGTGTCTGTCCTCTAGATTCACTGTTATGCTGTGTGTGTGCATGCGTGCGTGTGTGTGTGTGTGTGTGTATACCTGGGTTCACTGTTATTTTTTCCACCCAGTTTAGCTGTGAGTTAATTTTCCCTTTTAGCATCTCATCAGAGCCAGTTTGGGCTACAGTTAGTTGAAACATGTCAACAGTTTTTAACCAGTTCTTGTGTATTTTAAAGAAACCTTATGTGCTTTATGTAATAGAGGTTCATTTATGATATCATTAATAATTTACATTGAGTATTTTCAGAAATAAAAGTGGATGTGCTGACTTTTCAACTTTTTCTCTATTTTGATGTAATTTAGATTTTTGACTTGAAAAGGATAAAACATAGGATTTCTTATCTTTTGTTCCATAGGAGGTATTTAAAAGATATGTGTAAGGGCCAGCAAACAGCTCATTGGACTAAGCGCTTGCTTAGGCAAGTGCAGGGGCCGGGGTTTGGTCCCTGGTACCACACGCCACGCTGGCCCACCCTTAGTCACGCTGAGCCAGCAACCAAGTCCAGACATGGTGGTGCAGACCTATAATCCCAGCACTGCAGAGGCTGAAAACAGGAGGATCACTATGAATCCAAGCTGTGTAGTGAGACCCTGAACTAAATACATAAAAAATAACATAATATAACATAACATAACAAATGTGAAATACTGAATTTCCATGAGCAGTCAGGGAATAGGTTTTTTTTTCTTCCTACCTGAATGATTTTAGCCATAAATTTTGACCAGTAGGTTTTACATATTCATATGTTGAGAATATCCAGATATTGGCCTTAATTTATAATAATTTTATGTTATGTAATGCAATGCTAAATATCTGAGCTAAACGTACACATGTTTCATGCATACTTTTTCTTGACCTTGTACTATTTGGGGTTTGAAGAACTTGATAGTGGGAGGAGACCTATGGCCGGAGAACAGCTTGCTGAGGATACCCTAGCTTCCATAGCTGTGTTCTTTGCAATGGGGAAAACTGTAAGGGGCAAAAGGGTGCCGTTGCTATGTGCAGGCTTGGTGGAGAAGCGTAAGGGAAATTGTGCTGACAGCTAAGCAGTCTTCGAGATCCTTTTGCAGCACTCATGATCATTGGGTTTATTTTTGGCAGCTTAACTCATGGCCCTTGGGTGTGTTTTTGGCAGCTAACTTGTGGTTGTTGGGTGTGTTTTTGGCAGCTTACACAGAATATATGATTGTGACTCGGGTATCTTGCACTTCTTCCTTATTTGAAGACATATTCGTTAGGTAAGCTGTAAGATTAGCTCAAAGCAAACTATCCGTAGTGGCCAATCAAAGGGAAGGGAAAAAGAATTTAATTTGACAGCAAGAGGGAGTGAATGAGTGTTTTTTATCAAATTCTCCTAAAACCTAGAGGATGATGGCTGGGTTGAAATAAGTATGTGAAAATGATGTAAAGCTAAATCTGCAAAAAATTACAGGCAAAAGCAGAGTTTTATGATTCCATTCATTTTTTTTTTCTTTCATATGGGAGATTGAACCTGGGACCTTTACACTAAATCATATCCCCAGCCTCTTTTCATTTTGTATTTTGAGATCTGGTCTCATTAGATTGCTGA